AACTTGAAAGAGAAGGGGAAAAATGAATGCCTAGGTCATCAACACTATGGACAGACTTTTATAAGACAACTGACTGGCCATTGATTACTCTCACAACACTGCCTTTACCTCTTTCTAGCCTGATCTATAAAACACAGAGAGGAACCTTTTGTGCTTTTCCATTGTGCAACAAACCACAGAAGGCATCCTCTCTCTATACCTGCTGTAACACAATGCTCAAAAACCCAAGCATGAATGCACACAATCCGTCTAAACCTCACAGACTTTCTGAAACCCACGCACTTTCGTAAGGTCAAGACCAATGCAGGAGAGCAAACGCGAGAGCTCATCGGACAGGCTGAATGGGGGAAAGACCGCGGTCTGGTAATTGTTCAGTGCTCTAAGGTCACTTCTGAGGAGCTGTGGACAGGTGAAGGTGTTAATACTCCATATGCCTCTGTAATTGACCAAAACACCTGCCTTGTCTGGCCAACACCACCTGCTCAACAACACCGCTCTCAGTTTCATACTCAATACATCAATTAAAAGGCCTGAATTTCTTCTGAAAATTGTAAATTGCTTTGATAATATCACACATTCTCATGTACACAGGAGAGGTGTAAAGCAGCATTTAGTGCAAATCAATATTTTATAGACCTTGCTCAAAGGCAGGTTTCAGTTTCTGCACTCTTATAAAATTCTAGTTTGGCATTTCATAATGTTATACTGTATATATTATCAACATATGGACATTAAATGGACAACACTGAAGGTGTTTGTCTATTAAAGACACAGCTTTAGCACCAACAGAATTATGCTATAATCAAGTCGTCTCTGAATCTCTAGATATTTCAAAATCACAGTGAACACAACCAAAATAAGCTTTTGGAAAAAATCACTGTACCTCCGTGTGGAATGATCTCCCAGCCCTTCCCCAACAGCCAAGTCTCTAATCTGTGAGCTGCTTTGGATGAAAGCATCTGCTGAATTAATTCATGTAAATGTACACAGAGTTTCTTACAGAAGTCACAAGTGTTGACTACTCTCACACTAGTTGTGTTAAAGTCATATTCTCCCATTATTGTTCATCGGCATGATCAAGTTCACATACTGTCAGATGAGACAGGTGTACATAACAATAGATTTTAAAAGAAAACTTCTGCCATAAGAAGAGGAAGAACATAAAGATGACGTTAATTCCACTTCAGAATTTCATTTCTGCTTTTGAATGCATGGCAAACACATCTGCCCCAATTTCCAAACACAGTAACAAAACATGATGGCCAGACAATGCTGAGTGTTTTGCATACACGTTTCCTTAACATTCATGTTAAATACAAAGGCAAATTGAGGCGGTAAATTGAGAGCAGATGGACTACGAGGCCCTCTCCTTCAGTAACACACTTTCTTTAACCCTTATTTCTCCATCTCAGTTCCTCCCCTGCCCATCAGGTGTGAAGAGCTTGACGTTTGCCTGTAATTGGTGTTGAGTCACTTCGTCGTTTCACTGGAAAATGTGTCAATTTGCAGGCTCCGCTTTTGCACTTCCAGAAATCTATTGATATTTTGTTTGGCTTTTTCTGGAAATAAGAACAACAATTTTTCTGTTTTCCGTGCAGTTAAAGTTTAATTTATTCTACTATACAAAGTGTAACAAAAAGCTATTTTCATTGTGTTTTTCCTCACAGTTCTTTCTTATTTTATTGTATTTTAGGGTGGTGTGGGTCTGCAGAGAATTCAAGAGCCTTTGACATATAAGTTGGTCTTACATTGAGCAGAATTACATCCTACATATTTCACTGTCCGATGCTGGCCACAAAATCACAGAACTTGAGCATTTGATCTCTGCTTGTCATTGCAGGTGTCGGCATCACATGCGCTGGATCAGGTGTGTCTGTAACCCGTATCGGCCCACTCTCAGCATGCTTGCATGCACTTGCATTAGTGAGCTCAAAACAAGAGCTTCGTCTGGACGCCTGCCACCTTCTTCTGTCACACTCAGAGCTCCCCAGGGAACAGTGAGCTGTGGTATATATGGACGTGAACCACAGGGGAATCACTGCAGACTCTTCCAGAAGGCAGCCAAACATCTCTCCAATGGGTTTAGGACCGAGGCAGTGTGTGTGTGTGTGTGTGTGTGAGTGTGTGTGTGTGTGTGAGTGTTTGAGTGTGAGTGTGTGTGTTTGTAATTCACAAGTCCCAGAGGATTCCAGCTGCCTAACTAAATCCTCTCCATCAACAGGTAATAGGGCTTTTTTTTTTTTTAACTATTAATGCTTTAAAACTTTTTAAAATTATGTTATATTTAATGAGAGACAGCTTTCTTCATAGGCCCATAAAAAGACCAACATCTAATCTAATCTTTCATTGCCTATCTCTGTCTGTCTCACTTCCATCCAACCTTGGCACCGTCGGATGCTCCCATTACTCTTGCTAAACTTTCAAAATCAAAGTCTGACAACAAAAGTCTTGTCAATAGGCATGCTGGGAGCTGTGTTTAAACGATTAACTGGGCATCAGCAGACAGCTGCTCGGCTGATAAGATAAGATGCGTCTGAAGCAGCTGTTCAAATATACTGTACTTTGCATGATATGATGATCAATATCTTCATTATAGCGCAGCAGATGTGCAGTTTCTTGTCAGTGTGTGACACAGATTTATGTACATGTGTGACCTACATATACACAGTGTCTGTGTCTAAACAGTCAGCTCAGAGAAACACATGGATCTCGCTGTGCACACATGCACTCTGCATATGACGCCACATAGTGTGTGTTCTCAGAGCAGATCAATTATTCACCAGTGATCATTAGAAGTGTTGGCTGTGCAATGCAGAACCGTAGAATGAAGTGAAATAACTTAGCTGGGTAGTTGACATTACATGTCAAGCAATAACAGTAATGGCCTGTAGGCTATACTTCATCTAAAACAGCATTTTCTGATTTTTGCATGCAGTTTTTATGACCTTCAATTAATGTAGAGACTACATGTTTGTAATTTTATTTATACTTTTATTTAGCATGCCTTATGGCTAAAACACTATTAAAATGGTTTTACCAGAATACCAGTTGCAGCACAGAAAAATATTCACCTGTAGGCTATACTTCATCTAAAACAGCATTTTCTGATTTTTGCATGCAGTTTTTATGACCTTCAATTAATGTAGAGACTACATGTTTGTAATTTTATTTATACTTTTATTTAGCATGCCTTATGGCTAAAACAAGCGGTGGTTTTACCAGAATGTTTTAGGTGGTTTTAAAAATGGTTTTACCAGAATACCAGTTGCAGCACAGAAAAATATTCACTTGAAAATGAACTAAAACGCATAAGGCTGTATAACATTGTTAATGTATTTTTGATGAATTCTTTACAATGAATGGCTGACTACGTTTACATATGTGCATTTGTTGTGATAGAAAAAAAGTCCACGTACTTGAACTACCACGCGCAACACCAGCCATATATTAATGCAAGCTACACCCCACGTGTGCAAAGATAACGTGTTTTATTATCATTATTTACACACGTCCATCATTACTTATAGGTGTGCTTTATTATATTTTAATCAAATATAATGTTTTGAAAAGTTGCACAGAACCGAAAAATAACAAAACACATGGATTTCACACATTATTTTATTTTAATTAAAGGTTCGTTAGAGATAAACAGTCATGTTTTATTTCTAAACTAAGCAATAAGCGTGATGTAATTCTGTCATGCATGAGAGAAACGTTTGTTGTATTAGCGTGCTGGTTTACTGCGTTCTGATATATGTGTGTCGTATCGTGTCATGGCTCCTGAGAGAGTTTGAACAATTAATATTCTGCTCATGAACACAAACCGCAATGAAGCTTTCAGTGATTTACAGTCAAGTGAGAAGCGTGACATTATTCCAAAGACCTCACGCTTGAGCTTATGTTTTGAGTAAACAATAACAAAAACCGTTGTGCGTGATCTGTCGGATGGTCGGTATGTAATTCTTAGACAAATATACATTCTGTTGCATTAGGCGAGCTGCGTCCCTCGGCTCCACTCCGCCATCTAGCGCCACTGCAGTGCTTCCTCGGCGGCGGGTTTGGACCAGTGCCCGGGCTCTAGTCGGGGTAAACAACAACTGTTCAAACCGAACCCGTTCAAGACCGTAGACCTCCAGTCCCAGTCAAAACATGCACCAGTCTCTATGAACCACTGGCGCGCGGGCAGGAGGTGACATACGATGCAAACTTGTTCTAGCGCATCCAGCGACTTAAGATCTCTCAAAGTTTAGAGAGTGCTGCTTAGCCTTGACTTTGAAAACGAACACTGCTGTTGTTGCCTCTTCTGTTTGGGGTTCGGGGCGTGCGCTCTGTGACGAAGGACCGCCCAGCTGCTCAGTGGCTCCGCCCTCTTCCGAATCAGCCACAACATTAACGCGCATAGACTGGAGACTGAACTCACTGACACCGAGCCGCGATCCGGCCACTGCACACCCAACACAGCCCTGAGCCGGAGAAACGAGCCGTAGCTTGATGACAGATATTGATTAACAGCCTACACAGAAAGTCAATTTTAAGCTATCAATTATTCATGGGCAGGATTCGTTCATTCATATTGATGTATTGCCTATTTCATGTAGTTTTGTTTCTTAATATGTATAAGTGCTTGTCAGAATGCAGTCTGGTATGAACATACCCAGATTTGTTTTCTAACTCAAAGCAGAATGCGTTTTTATTTCTAAGGATGAAAAGATCACGCCTCCCTTGTCGACATGCAAAAATGAAAAATACACATCAGCGTGTACCTTTAAAACTAAGTTTGTCTTGTACACTGGAATGAGGTCAGAGCCAAAGCTCCTCATTGCACGCGCTGATTATTATTAGATTCCTTTTTGCGCCAATGAAAAGAGAGTGGGCGTGTTTTTGGCTCGGGGAAGGATAGAGACAGCCGCTGATTGGCCGGCCGTCGTCGCTATTATACCATTGGAAAAGAATAAAGCTGCGTGAGGCAGAATAGAAGTCTGTTGAAACTCACAGACTGCTTTTAAGAGACGGAACACTTGTGCTAGCATTACATCCTGGTTTTCCCGCATGGTTTGAAGGGGGAAGGATATGCAGAAGGAGTCAGATATCTTCCGAAACTTGAACAGAGCTTTGCTGCATCGCAGCGCACACACTAACACTGAGCCCTCGCATAGCTGCGCTCATATACACACTTTCCGCGGCTCATCGACTGTTACAGCTTTATTACTGGATGCACGGACACTGTGGAAATCGGGCACGGTTTCAGCTCCGTGAACTGTATGATAAAGCCACGAAACAGAACTTTAGACACGCCAAGCCACCGCACTGAGCACGACTGAGCGCGTGTGTGGTGCACCAGCTCTCCTCAGGACTATTATCAGACTGAGTTTGCTTTAGCGACACGTTGGACTTGAGAGTGCACAGAGGCTCTCTCTCACACACACACACACACACACACACACAGACAGACTGGTGTAGCGATGGTCCAGAAAACAAGCAGCACGGAGAATCCCGATGCGCTGTTTGCTGGGGACTCGTCCGATTCCGGCGCGCTGGATCTGGACATGGCTTCTTCCCCGACCCCCGGCTCCACGGAGTCCGGCGCGGACAAGCTTGACCCCGGCTGGTGCAAAACCCCCAGCGGTCACATTAAGAGACCAATGAACGCGTTCATGGTGTGGTCGCAAATCGAGAGGCGCAAGATCATGGAGCAGTCGCCGGACATGCACAACGCGGAGATCTCCAAGAGACTCGGCAAGCGCTGGAAGCTCCTGAAAGACAGCGACAAGATCCCCTTCATCCGAGAGGCGGAGCGGCTGCGGCTCAAGCACATGGCAGACTACCCCGACTACAAGTACCGGCCGAGAAAAAAGGTGAAGTCGAGCGGCTCCAAACCGAGCGAGAAGGGAGAGAAGCTCAGCTGCGCCAGCGCCGGCTCCAGACCGGCCTCAAAGAAGAGCGGGAGCCCCAGATCCACGAGCAAGCCGCACAAAATAGTTCTGGGCAGCGCGAAGGCAGCGTTCCCCGCGGATCACCACTCTCTTTACAAATCCAAGTCAGCGTCGGCTTCCAAGCAGATTCCTGACAAGAAGGCGAAGCGGGTGTACATTTTCGGAGGCAGCAGCGGCATAAGCCCGTCTTCAGCAGCCGTGCCCGCCAGCCCGACCCTGAGCAGCTCCGCCGAGTCCAGCGACCCGCTGAGTCTGTACGAGGACGGAGCCAGCAGCGGCAAGGAGGGCGCCGACTCCCCCAGCAGCTCGTCCTCGGACCGCCACAGGTACACCACCATGCGGGCGTCCTCGCCCGCTCCGTCCGCGTCACACTCGTCCTCTTCCTCATCGCAGTTCTCCTCTTCCTCCGACGAGGAGCTCGACGACGACATGCTGGACGTTAACCCGAGCCCAGGCTTTGACAGCATGTCTCTGGGAAGCATCGGCTCGTCGGTGCTGGACAGAGACTTCGACATGCACTTCGAGTCCGGGGCTTCTCATTTCGAGTTCCCCGACTACTGCACGCCGGAGGTGAGCGAGATGATTTCAGGGGACTGGCTGGAGTCCACCATTTCTAACTTGGTGTTCACGGCTCACGTGCTGAACTAGGGAAGGTTGAGGAAATACGCCTGAGGAAGAACACTGAGCAGAAGGGATAACAGACAAGTGTTTGTTTGTAAAATAAGCCACAGTGTGAAGGCTCCCGCCCGGCAAAGCGCTGAAAAACAAAAGCTACGATGCTTCGGTGAAACGCTGACAGGATGGAAAAGTGAAGGCGCCCGTGAAACATTAGTCGCGGCAGGGCCGGAGTCATTTCCCCGCGCTCGGCGCGAGACTAGAGGAAGAAATCCAGGAGTGCTTGAGAAAACACGGTCTGAACTGGAAAACTGTGATTGATTTGCACGAACACGAAGGCGGGCTTTCGCCGTCTGTTTAATCATTTTTACTTCAAAAGAGACGTTTATGAACTTTAACCATTCGCCTTGTGGACTTGATTGTTTAAAGAGGTACTGAAATTTAGGATGATTTTCATCACGGCGGATTTATTAATAAGGTGGGTTGACAAAAGGCAAGCCGTTTTTTACATAAAGAAAAAGGAAAAAAAAGAACGCATGTTATCTGTCCTCTTCTTGGCGTTTTATATCTTGAGAAACCACTGGATGGGAAATCCTTACACGTGTTCAAATGGTCCATTTGAGTTTCGCGACGATTACTTACTGCGTTCCTCACTGTGTTTGAATATTTAATCTTTTCTACTTGTCGGATAAGTATAGCTAATTGTTTTAGTATCTTAAGGCATGGTGAATAGATTTGTATTTCCGATTCAGGTTTATAGCTGTTGTGTAACAAAAAATAAAAAAGGAAAAAGCATCTTTGTACAGCTGTATCATCGACTAAACGACTGTGTGTTTATGTATGTTGTTGCGCTTTATCTCGAGAGGCACTATCTTTATACACACTTGCTTAGCCTACTTAATTTCAAGATGCTCGTTAAGGATTTTTATATATACAGTTGAACTATATTCACTTTATTTTCATCCATTCTGTGCAATATGCTGTGTAGAAATCTTGTTTTGTCTAATCATGCCATAACACATGCCAGCTTATTGTGTCAAGTCACTGCCTGTCAGATTGTTCATATACTCCTGTACAGAACTTTTTCATAAAGGAAATAAACTCAGCTGGAACTGAACCCTAAACACTGCGCCGTTGACTCGCTTTCTCATTTGCATAAGTGGGCGTGTCCCCTGTGCTCCAGTTGAACCGTCTGCCTTTGTCTGTTTGGATTTGCATAGCACATATTACCTGCCTCAACGATTTTTTAACGCTCACGTAACAGCAGCTGCGCGTTGCTTACTGTAAGTGGCCTTTATATCTGAGCAAGTTTATGTGTCTGCGGGTCATCATACAATACGCCTCACGGTGACAGTAATTGAATGTGCGTGTGTCAGGTCACTGGAGTTCGCATGCTCCTTGATTATGAATGCACACAGGCGCATCTCCACAGAGCGCACTGAAAGGGGATCCATGTGGCTTGATGCACTCAGTGACTGGCTGGCTGTCTGGCAGACTCTCCCTCCCCTTCCCTTCCCCAGACAGTCTGGGCTCTCAGAGAGGGGGATGGGCTGCTAACGACTGCATGCATGATATTTCTCCTGTACTGCCATTAAACGTGCACAGTGCGGTATATGTGACTACATTTAAGAATGCATATAAGCAAACCACGTGGCACTGGAAATGCATGCATTCAAACGAAGCTTTGCTGTTGTTGCACGCCCAATAGAAGATTCTGCATTGTAGAGTCTGTGCACATTGCTCTGGCCCTGGTGTGGGAGTTTCCAGAGCGGCCGATGAGCAGCTCAGCAGGGCTCTTTGGCCAGATCTGTTCTCCAGAGGGAGGGGTGTCAGACAAGAAGTGGCGAGAAACCTGCCTGTGTCTGAGGACTGCAGAGAAAGAAAGCTCAGATAGTACATTGTAAGTAGCCTCGGTGCAGTTTCGCGTGGGTGCAGTCGTTGTCTTGTAGGCAGCACATTACATTACTGTTTCCTCCATAAAAAGAAAAAAAGGTTTGTCTTTCACAAGACACTATTGGCAGCAACTCGAGCGTAAAAGAAGACAAGCACTGGTTTCTCCATTTTCACTGCCTTACACAATCACAGCAGAGCCGGTCTCACATGTTTACAGTATCTTTCATGAAATATAGGCCTAAAATATCATTGTAAGCAGAATAGATTTGATTCCTTTTACTGATCATATGTTGTTGCTTCTGCAAATTGAAGGTAAAATGTACTGTACAGTTATTAATGCAGAAAGAGTTACACTGTACTGGCTTTCTTGATTTTTTTGTTTCGGTCAATAGCATGTGGGATTAGAAAGTGAAAGTGATCATTAATCAGGAAAATATAAATTTTATAATATTGTCAACAACTGGCCTAATTATATATTATATTGAACTTTAATATTTATGCTTTATCTTTGAGAATGAACAAGATTGATTTTTTTTGTGTGTGTACAGTTTGGTACTGAATGTGTTTATTGTAATAATTCAAATGGCCTACATGCAATAATAATAATGAAAAAAAAAAAAAAAATCCAAATGGTTCAAATACAGGGGCATCCTGATCTAAAACTGCACTCTAAAACACGGGACTCTGTGACACTGAAATGCTTAAATGTAAAAGAGCCTCTCTCTACCAATCCCATCCTTTTGAAAAACAGTGGACATTTGCATATTAAATGAAGGTTGAGGAAGTTCCTTTGAACTCAAGCACAGTTTGTTACTGAGGTGTAGTGTGATGATGCTGGCTCTGTGCTGATCCCGCATTAGAACATCTGAGGTGTAAATACAGCCTATTAAGGTTTTGTCAGGACAACCATGAAGAGCTGATGAACAGGACTGATGACGAATTTGAACGGGCGTTTTCTACATTTTCACCCACAGCGTGTGTCCTGTGAGGCTCATGTATACACTGTAAAATGTAAATGTGAAATTAATGCATGTAACACAATGCTTTTGTAAACCACATACAGTATCAGTTTAAAAAGTGCAAAAAATAATGATTTGAAAAACATTTGAATTCTTTTTATTTATTTATGCTATAGGTGGAATGAAATTTAAAGATGCATGTGAATTAGTGAATCACTGTGTTCAAATGGTGTAAGCCAGTATATTTTCTCTTTTGTTATAAAAATGCCTCAGTCACAATTATCTTTGAGTTTCAAATATGGTAGATATCACTCATTAACTAAGAATGATATATTATTACAATGGTCCGTTTGCTAGCATTGTAAGTATGACATTGAATGATCAGTGTTTCCTAGAAATGCATTTTTTGTCCCTGTTACACAGCATTGCCCGTACTGCTATTAGTGTGGCTCTCCTGTCATTGCAAGAGATATTGTGTATCTGAAGCCTCTAACATCTACTGTAGACATATGGTGAGTAATGTAAATGCTAATTTGAGGCTGTCAGATCTTCTCTTCTTTTTATGTTTACAATATTAAATATTAACATCATAAAATAATTTACATTTCTGAAATTGCATACATCTTACTGTTTCATTTCATTGCATTGCATTCAATGACAAAATACAAAAAATTAGTGGCATCTGCAACTAAATTTTGGTAGACATTTTTTTAGAATGACATTTATGTTTAAGAGCCATTTTTTGGGAGAGAAAAAAAAATACTGAAAAAGAAATTTGCTGCACTTAATCAAATATCTTAATCAAATCTCACGTCATCTGAACCCAAACAAGCCATAGTTCTGAGCAGAATGAACTACTCATATTAAGTAGAGGTTTTTACACTTTTATATTTTGCTTAAATAACTCATTAAATATGAACATCATTAAATATACCTAATATTATCAGTTAAGCTTACTAGTTTCTCAGTGTTGAGCTGACTGAATTTTCGTGGCACCTGCATGTGAATTAAAATGCTTCACTAAAAACACTTGTCTAAGTCTTAATAACTTTGCTGTGCTTTATTTAGTCAGAATTGTCTCAGCAGTTGCATGCTTACCTCTTTAAACTCTGAAATCAAACTCGTTTTAAGCATGATCTGCTGTGATGTTTAGTGGATGAATGAATTCTGTTCCTCTCGCAGGTGTCCTACAGGTGTGCTTTATCACATGTTCAACTAACTATATTTCTGTGCATTAATGATTTGACCATAGAATGACGTTAAACCAAAGGTCCGTTGGCTTCATTACACTATGTGTCATCTTTTCACTGCAGCTTAATTTGATCATTATTTGATAATCGATTATATATTAATGGACTGTATTTAAAATGACCGTATTTTTCTAGCAGGACACCTAAAACAGTGCAGTAAAACGCTTAGGTTGACATTAAACATTAAACATATAATAATTAGTAGCTAGATAAATATAGCCTATTTCATTGCAGTAGCGTACATCGCCACGTTTAAATGTAATATGAGTCAGAACTTGTCCATATAGTCATGCTTTGGGTGAATTCAGGCAAATTGGCAGACTTTTTGCTATTGAGATGACTGGGAATCAGGCGTATTCTGACCAGTGAACAATGTCATTCAGGGGGTCGGATTTGAATATATATATATATATATATATATATATATATAAATCATGCATGTTTATGTCCCTAGAAGTCGTTTCAACAAAACACAAGTTTTATTTACTTGATTTATTTACGTCGATACCGATCCTATATAAGGCGCTCGAGCGGCGCACTGTTGCTATGGTAACATCCTCAGGCCATTTAACTCACTCTAACTTATCCGATGCATTTATATATTCAGGAAAATAACCCCTAACATTTTGTTTCGACTTGGAAATTATGACAGCTAAGAAATATTTATCTTATAGCCGAATTTTAAGTGCGTTACAGTGCAGGCAACTTATATAGCTACAACTCAATGGAATGCAATGATTTACATCGATTTACCTATTTACTACAAATATTTTAATGAAGTCATTTTTGAGTAAATGCAGTGTTTCCTGAAGGGCCACGACCAATCCGTAGGCTACGTATTTTATTTGGTAGCTAATTCGTACGATTTCTGGGAGGGGTGTGTTTAGGGGCGGGGTTAGGGGTGGTCCTTCCTACGAATTAGCCCCCTCGTAAAATACGTACGATTTTTCACAAGTACGTACGTAAGATTTTTCACGATTTTCTCCAGTAAAATATGTACGAATTGCCGTGAGATCGTGTTTTTTTTGCATTTCGCATCGTGCATTTGAGCGTGTTTGTACCGTGGAGAGCAAAACAATCCCCATAATTGACTGATTTCTGAGTAACTCCAGTAAGTTGCTCTCTGTGTTGTTATTTAGTTGTATGTAGAGGGCGGGACTCGAACTGAAAGGAACAAGGCGCGGCCAAGAACCCCTTCACACGTGTAGACAAAGGGACCATCAACACAACCCAAACATGCAGGGAAAAGTTTTCCCGCGCGCTGTACCTCACGCCAGGACCTCAGGTGAGTTATCGGCACGCGCTCAGATCGGTTTCGTCTGTGGATGTGTATCTGGAAAAGTTCTCCAAGAGTTGGTGCGTCAGCTCGCAAAGTTGAACACAAAGCCGGAGGAGCGGTCCTTTGTTCAGCGGCGACTCGAGATGCTCAAACTATAGATGAAGATGAAATATGAAGAAAGTGTGGATGGCAAAAACGAGAGGATGAAAAAGCGTGAGAGTTATTTTCCACTTTTGGCTCATGTGGGACTAAGGATGGCGCAGGAAGACAAAGCTGTCAAAAGTTGATTGGCGAAGGAAGTTGACCGAAAATTACGCACGCAAAGTATTTCACAATTAATATTAAACGAAAGACGAGTTTGTTTCAGGAGAAGCTCTAGGCATCGATCTGTTTAATCTTCCGGATGATGTAGTAGTTAATCGCGAGGTTGATATCTCCAATTATCTGCGCATGAATACATACTGATTAATTCAGCATACTTGTGTTTTTAATGTCCTAATTAAATCGTTCACTATTAGATGCAATGCTTTTAGGTGCCATCTGCGATGATTTGTGAGCGCGAGGTGGATGCATAATGTTCAGATTGTGTGAAAGAGCAACAGGTACAATGAGCAGTCGCTCTCGGTCCTTTGTTGCAGAACTTAGAAAGACACGATGTTTCTTTGTTCTGCAGCTTCCGAACACAGAGTATGAGGACACGCCACACAAACCATCTCTTTAATTCCTCAAATAGCTGATGTTACAGTGAACTGTGTTTTTTTTAAAGTATGCTAAAAAAGAGGAAAAAAGAAAAGAAAAAATAATTGCAATAAGTTACCATAGGAAACGATAGTTAGCATCACTTCTGATTGAAATACCTGCTTTTAATGTAACTTTACACCAGAATATGTTCAAATAAATTAGACATTTAAAGACAACTGGCATGTAAGTATTTCTGAAGTGATCATTTGCCTTTCTATTTCAAATTGTATGTCCTTGTTCTCCTAAAATAAGCGGTAATTCTTCATATATAGCGTGTGTGTGTGTGTGTGCGTGTGTGTGTGTGTGTGTATTTGCCCTGTAGCTCTGGAGACCCAAAGTTAGTTTACTTTTGACAAAGTTGTCATGTGGATTTGTTGTTTTGCTCTCCATCCTTTGCTTCTACAATCCAATGCATTCGAGAGATGTGCACATGTGAAATTTTTTTAAATGTACTTAAAATAACCCAATTATATATCAAAAGCTGGAGCTATTAAGGCGTTACTAAAAAATTAGATTTTTTTAAAATATATATTTTTTTGTTAAATTTTTTTTAAAATAATTTTTTATGAAAGTGTTTACTCACAAAAATATTTTCCAGCTCGAATTATTGTGTCTCAAACTGCAAGTGGGCCTGTATGCCAAGATTTGGAGACTTTGAGACATATATTTATTAAACGCGTTTTAATAGTGAGCGTTTGCATTGTATTTATCTGAGAATGATAGCATCTGTGATTTTAAAAGCAGAGTATGCTGGATAGCATGTAACTGCTTCTTTAAAGTGCACAGTTGCACTGGCGTACACGTTTCCTCCGCCTGCACTCAGGCAACCCCAGAACATTTCTCTGATCAAACATCACTGCTCTCTCTGTCTTTCATTCATTCCCCAATCACAGCTCTCAGTGTGACGCATCTCTTGCTGCTCGCAGCCTTGAGACTGAATAGAATCATTCTGCCTCGCTCTGTTTCTTTCATCCACACCTGAGGTGGAGGATCGCTCCGGAAGATCACATAATGAGCATTTCTCTATTCATTCATATGACTTCACTTTATCTATCAGTAAACATTAATAATATTTATTAATAAAATGAATAATAACCATAAATTGTCATTTCGAATGGAAACTTCAGGCAGGACATTTGCAGTAGATACTTTACAATAAAACTGCTATTATGGGATGCCACATCTGGTTGTATATGACAGTACATCATAGTGTTATTATACCTACATATTTGAGCTATTTAAATTGATCTGTAAAATGTCCTGGTAATAACACACATTGTGGAAGTACATTGGAAATCATGTGATGATTCAAAGTTCATCAAAATTGACCTCTACAGCAACTCATTGACAATAAATAATACAGAAAACATGAACTAATTAGCAAGAAATGTAGCAAAATATAAATTTTCATAATTGATAAAAGGAAGAAAGAAAACTCAAAACAAATATTATGTTTTATACGGAGAATTCCCATTTTCTGATAAATTTCAAAAAAGCTAACTTTTTACTTATAAAAACAGCAGCAGCATAAATTAAGCCAGTAAAATTTTTTTTTATGATATTAAAAAAAAAAAAAAAAAAAAAAAAAAAAAACAAGAGCAGAGACCTCAGCTGCATTAAATGATGTCTTCGTTGAAGTTAAACTCGTATGTTTTCTGTTATAGGCCAGCACGCACGGGACTGAGCACTGGAGAGCTCCTGTTCTAAACGCACGTCCTTTGAAGGATTTATTTAATTATTTTTTCTGCTGTGGGATTTGACTTTCCTCCGGGATTATTGGACTATCCATAATGAGAATGATTACTTTCCACTTCTAGACACAGTGGAGCAACTAAAGGTGAGTGTCCTACATTTAAAACGCATTTGGTAAACCATTATAATTGAAAACATGTGTATGCAATTCATAACTTCTCCAAATATTGATATAGAGAGCTACGTATGTTAAGATGTGCATCTGAATGTGCACGAGTGAGCGTTGCGTGATGCACTGTTTGTTCGCGTCATTAGCTGAAGTTATAGCGTGCTGGCGCGTTTGGTGACGTGGAGTGACGTGTCCGGATCAATCTCTCTTTTCCTCAGCATAATGATGTCATGCAGTGTGGTATCAGTCAGTCAGGAGTGACTGAAAGCATCAGGCCCTCTCTCGGAGAGCTCGAGCTCTGTCTGAATGTGTTTGTGTAGCGCGGCGGTGTTTTTTCAGCAAGTGCGGAGCTGGACAGCGTCAGGGACTCGGGGCTGGATCTCATGCGCACTGCATCCGCGGGGAACCTTCAGAGCCGCATTGCAGCCGTTTCCTTTATCAAATGAGAGTTTGGGATGAGTAATCCCATCATCTTCTAACTCGAGTGAGCTCAGACTGCGTCGGAAGCCTCACTGCGTCTCTCCACTATGATGTCACTAGGCTCTGGTATGATGTCATTGGCAGCCAATCAAACGCGAGCGGGAATCATACGAGCCAATGAGACGCCAGGCGGCCCCGCCCACCGCACGTTCTGCCCATGTTGGAGGTCGCAGCTCTGAAGTGAAGTAATGCAGAGAAAAGCAGACACAAGTGCTCTGGTGTGACACCAGCTGCAGCTACAGAGGAGAGAGTTTGAGGATGAAAAGAGATTCAGAGGATACGATTTTAAGGATAAAAAAGACGAGGCTTGTATGATTGTTTTAATCCACTGGAGACATGAAGTCAAGTGCTCAGAGTTCCATTCACTCTCCGCATGCAACACATCACTAGTATTTAGAGCAAATGTTGCATTGTAAAGGCAGAGATGATTTCAGTTTTCTTCTGTAAAGCTAGCAGATGGTGCTGACTGTTCTCTAACCTGTTCCTTTCATCCGCATTATTCAGTAAGCAGATGGATGTCAGTCCTGCGGCTCGTACAGTCTGCGGTCCACTCTCTTTTCTCTCTCGTTCTCAGTTCACGGTCTCTTCTGCATATGAATGCGCTTTGGAAAAGCTCCACATTCAGACCAGCATTACCAATTGTCCTGACAGTGTACCTTGGTTCTCGCAGCCGGTGGAGTACAGGCTTAGTTTGAGTTCTCCGTGTCTGTCGTCCAGAGATAAGTCAACATGCTCTGACTGAGCACTGCGATGTGTCCAGAATGCATTATTTCCCTTTTTATTCACAATGGTTAAATGCTCCTATTTGATTGTGGGTTTGTTTTTCGGATTATTTTATCAGTAATTATTGCTTTTTTTATTTTGAAAGTTAAAACAATTAATAAATATGATAAAAAAATTAGTCCAGTCCAGCAAATACACTATGCATTAACAGGTTTAGTTGAAAAGACTGATGTTAATCAAGTAAAATTTCTACTGATCTGTCTGTTTTTGAGATTAGGCTCGTTCTAACAGTGGTTCGTCCGGCTTTGCCGAAGCTGTGGGCCGTTACTGCTGAATAAAAAGCACCTACATATTATGTGTTTTAGGAATATGGAGGAATATGTGAAAAATGTGATTTTTTATGCATTAACAGGTTTAGTTGAAAAGACTGATGTTAATCAAGTAAAATTTCTACTGATCTGTCTGTTTTTGAGATTAGGCTCGTTCTAACAGTGGTTCGTCCGGCTTTGCCGAAGCTGTGGGCCGTTACTGCTGAATAAAAAGCACATACATATTATGTGTTTTAGGAATATGGAGGAATATGTGAAAAATGTGATTTTTAAATTTTTTTATGAAATTTTGGGGAAAAAAGTTGAAAAAAAATTTGTACCATTAGAGGATCAATATCTTGTCAACAGCTTTGTACCTTATTTATCCCTCAAAAAGGTGCATATTAGTACCAATAACAATAGTTGACTATTTTTTGCATGTTTGTTTTTCTGACAGTGCATCAGTTGGCAGGTCAGACGTGTGCTATGCATCTGGACACTCAAGCTGTGCTGAAATATGTAAGAAGACGTGAGTGTGGTGTGTGCTTGTGGTCAGTGGATTGTGTTGATGGTTCATGTGATGAACTGCACCTCTGCTTGAGAACCGCCGGTCTGATATCTTGGGACTCAAACAGCTGCTGAGAGTTTCAGTTCAAAGCGTTGAGAAATATCGCATTGCTTCTATTTCCAGTGCTGCAATGCAAATGAGCACAAACCCTTAAGCTGCACTGCTGTCATGATGAATTTTGCACTCATGCACAAAAAAGTCTAAAATAGGGAATCAGTCTGTGCGTGTGCCGTCAGCATGTCGCACTTTAACAATCCTTCACCCGTCTTTGGCTGAGCTGAAGGCAGAGCGTTATCCTGTCAGTCCTCCACAGCGCTCTCGCTGAGCTGAGAGTTCAGGAGTCACATCAGGACACTCTGAGGCACAGAAACGATTGCTCGTTCCACCAGCGGTTCACCGGCCGTTGCTTCTCATTGTTTGCACGTGTAATGCATCAGGAATCTGCAGTCTACATCTGACACACCTCAGATTAGTCACTTTTCATCAGAATAAAACGACGAGCAGTGTCAGACACCTACTGACCTCAAAGTGACCAGCCTGAGTGAAACAGAGCTCAGTAAATGACATCATTCATGAGACTAAAGCAGGTGCTGATCATCTTAAAGGCACAGTGTGACTCAAAAATGATCATCACATACTCACCCTCATGTTGTTCGAAACCATTTTGAGTTTCTCTCCTCTGTGGAACATGAAAGAAGATATTATAAGTCAGTGGTACCCAAATGGTGACCAAAACAGTTTGGTTACCAGCACTCTTCAAAATATCTTCTTTTTTGTTCTGCAGTATACAGTTTGGGATATTTTCATTTTTGGGTGAACTGTCCCTTTAAGAGACCTATTACTAAGCTCCACCCTTCTTGGAAATGTATTGTTCAGTAAAAATGTGCATAAAGTGGTAAAAATGGATGATACGTCCTTCCTTTCTGGACTGAAGTGAACTGTGACAATGCAAAGCATTTTGTATCTGTTTTTCTACACAGTAACATGAATCAGAATGGAGTCAAACACCTCCCACAGTCACTGAAAGGAGAAACGCCTCATTTTAAACTGTATTTTTCTGAACACACAGATCCTCCATTAGAAAAGAGTAAAAAACCTCTCTGAGAAAATGTTGGAAGGCAGCCGTTAAGAAAGGATTGGTTCGTATTGAGTTAGCAAAGGGTCAATATCACAAATCTGTGCTATTAGCTTTGTCTGTCTTTCTGCACAAGGTTAACCCCGTCCCCCGTGTTATTGTGCGGCTGTCGTGGGTCTGTGGATCCTCAGGAGTGACGTGTCGGTGTGGTCTGTGATTCAGGAGCGTCTCTCATCAGCTGTGCTCCTCTGGGAGGTTCAGGTTCTCCTCTGAGCTCCGCGGAGACTTTCTGTCTTATAACAGCTGCGTCAGGAGCTCCTCATCAACTCTGAACATCATATCAGTGCCTCCATCAGCCCTTCAGATATGAAATCAAACTCAGAGCTGTAATTTAAACTTCACCTACAGCTATTAGACTGCCGTGTTGATTTTAAAAAATACGCAAATCTAGCATTCACACGTGAGCTTTAATTACAATGTACAAGCATTTTTATCACATGAATATATGAATAAATAAACGCTGAAGCTGAAGTGGGCGCAGAGTCTAATGAACTACAAACATGTGTGTTTATCCTAATGTTTGTGTGTATTTAAGTAAGTTTATCCTAAATTTAAAGCGTTACTCTGCTGAAACACTGAGAAGGCTTCACGATAACCAGACACATTTTCTGTGTATCAGGGGATTTTAAATGACTCATCTCTACAGCATGAAAACTAGTTCAGTGAATCATATTTATACTGCCAGTAAATCAGAATTCAGTCCGATTAGTCTATATAATCCACCAATCACACAGTTAAAAAAATATATAAATACATACGAATCTGTGAAATTCGCGGAAAAAAATTGCAGCATTTTAAGTTTTACAGTTTAACTTAAATTTACAGTAAAATCCTGCATTTCATTAACTGATTTAATGTTAATTTACCAACCTATTGAAGTAGGAATATCTGTTTTGTACTTTTATAACACACTGGCAACCACCAAAAACAGGTGATGGGAAAGACACAGAATGAATCACAGCTCATCACAAGCAGCTTTTCCACATAAATATTAATATACAGAAGGTGCGAACAAACACAAAACACCATCATGACAATAAAATAATGCAGTGAGCATGAATTAAACAACATTTGACATAACATAAAACCCTAACTCATATGTAAAAAAATATAGAAGAAAGAGTTTATGCAACAAAACAAAAACATCAAATGTGAACTATCAAACAGGGAATTCTGGGAATGTAGATTTATGTGAATTTTTTTACTGTGAATTAAAAGATAACTTGTTCTTTTTTTTTTTTTACTTCCACAAACTGTAAATATAACAGTACTTTACTATAACAAATCTGCTGTATTATGACTATTATAACATGACTATTTTCCACGTGTTAGAATAACAGTAATGTAATAAACATTCTTAAGTAATTACAAATGTAAGTGGAGCAAAAAAGAAATAAAAAGAAAAGAAAAACACGACACAAACTTAATGAGGTGAATCCTGGGATGCTTTAGAAGGAGGAACATATGTGAAAAGCATTTTTATAAAGCACTTTGTAGACATATGTCTATATTTGTATAACTCCTATTTGTCTACAAACCTGAAGCTCAAGCGTTTAAGCAGAAGCCTTTGGCTGGAAAGCTTCTGAAGCTCACTGGAGTGTGTAGTGTATGTACTGTGTGCAGTGCAGTGTGTGTTTGAGCTCAGTGCAGCAACTGCATGGCCAGTAAAACTCAATTCCCCATGCATGGGCTTTTTGAAGTCCAAATGCTCTCATCACATGCACAATTAACTTGAGCCCTGGACGTCCGTCGTCATGAGCTGCTCGTCAGCCTGAGGCTATCGCGGGGTCAGAGGTCACCGGGACAGCCAGAGCTTTAAACACATGTGTTGCTCTTTTCCAGTCTGTCTGTCCATTCTCACGTTTGACAAATTAAGGTCATTTCTGTCGTGTTCGCCTTAAAGCAGCGTGATAGTAATGATGTTAGTCAGTATGGTCACACCACTTCAGTCAGTCCCTTCAGGTGTGTCCAGAACGCAAGGCTGCCAATTATAGAGCTTATTTCAGTTTTTTACGCCTTTTGTTATTTGAGGCTGCCAAACGGGTTGAACCTGAAGTAGATTTCATTTTGGTTTTGCAGGTCACTTGTCATTCAGATCATCACATTTATCCCAGATTTGGTTAATCTCAAAGGAACCTCAGCTGGGCTCACAGCAAAACTAAAGCGTTGCCTGAAAACAGTGACATGCTAGAGTAACATTCCTCGATCTGCTTATATTATGTGCTCTAATCCCGTAAGTAATTTAGGAACGCTTTGCGATTCAAGAGCTTGGCAGATTTTAATGTCAGCTATATAAGTTAGCAAGTCTTTATTGAAAAAAGCGAAAGCTGCCAGTGGAATAGGGTTTGTTGGAAGCATTTCGACCGTGCTTGACACATTAAATCTAGATCTCCTGCTGGGGCTTGAGCTGCACAAGGACTGCAGGTTTGTCAAGATTTCATTTTGGTTTTGCAGGTCACTTGTCATTCAGATCATCACATTTATCCCAGATTTGGTTAATCTCAAAGGAACCTCAGCTGGGCTCACAGCAAAACTAAAGCGTTGCCTGAAAACAGTGACATGCTAGAGTAACATTCCTCGATCTGCTTATATTATGTGCTCTAATCCCGTAAGTCATTTAGGAACGCTTTGCGATTCAAGAGCTTGGCAGATTTTAATGTCAGCTATACAAGTTAGCAAGTCTTTATTGAAAAAAGCGAAAGCTGCCAGTGGAATAGGGTTTGTTGGAAGCATTTCGACCGTGCTTGACACATTAAATCTAGATCTCCTGCTGGGGCTTGAGCTGCACAAGGACTGCAGGTTTGTCATTAGGCCAAATGAGCCATGGACTTCACAGCCCAAACCACGCCAAAACAATGTGTTAACACACTTGATGCAGTGCCAGAGACGATCTGCCGAGTGCCAACTGAATGAGGTGTTTTTAAAACAAAGCACGAAATCTTGGAATTCTGGCTAGATGGAAATCTAGCTTGAAGCTTTTGGAGGACAAATGAATGCCCTGCTTTGAGGATCATCCCATGATTGCAAAGAGGATGCAGATGTTTGTAGACTGTGTTAGGAGTCTCTGAAGGCTTGAGCAGCTCCTGCTGTACATGCTCACCAATGGTGCTTACCATGTGACATACGCTGGCAAAAGTGTAATGGTGATTGTTTGGTTACTTAGTTGTTCCTTCAAAATGTTCCTCCAAGCAATATTTTGTTGTTCAGTTGTTGTAGAAGTAGACAGTTGGTGACATTTATCCCGTCCTTCCTCCACTGTGATTGGATGTTGCAGTGATAAACGCTGTGTTTTACCCAAAGTTGAACATTTTTAAACTCTCAAATGACCAGAAAAAAACCCGGCAAGTGCTCAGTGTGAAATAGACTCCCATTGAAAACAATTGAAAAAATAAGCTAGGTACAGGAAAAAAACACTGGTGGACACACGGCCTACAGCTGGTTCGGTAAAGCCAGCATTGTATATTACGAATATTGTTGGCTCTTGGATGAATTGCTATAAGCCGCTTTGCATAAAAGCATCTGCTAAAAGCATGAATGCAAATGTAAACTGATGGTCAGATGCATGGGCGTCGGAAGCAACAAAAAATAAAGTGGGTGGGTCCAGAAAAATTTTCTGGAGTAGATGCCATTTCCTGTATTCTGGTGCCTAGCCTAGCAAAAACATCAGATAACTGTTAGCGTTATAACAATATGCACTGAATTAGAGACGGTGAAAGTGAGTGGGTCCAATATGAGGCATTCCTGGACCAGAAAATCTCAGATTGGTTGATGTGAGAGTTTGAAAATTATTTATTTACTGTCATCATTAAAAGGCTTTTACAACATGTCTGCAAATCCGTTTTCAAGTATTTAAACTCAATCTTTCAATGGCAGGTTTTGATAACTGGGTAAAGCTCTAAACCGTGATTATTTATTCACATGCAGCTTCTGTGAGTGCTGAACAGACTCTCAGTCTCAGACCCTCCATCAGGCGAAGCACAGATGAAAAACCTGTTCTGTGTGGTCAAAAGGTTACTTTGTGATTATTTTTTATTTTTTTAATCTAGTACTATTAGTTAATTCTTTTGAAATCATTTGAGAGATTCCAATTTAAGTGAAAATTAACTGAAGCGAAAGCATCAGAATTTGAATCTCGGTCTCTTATGCCCCTCTCCAAAAGCTGTAAAGTGTTATAGATCTGTGCCTGTAAGACAAGATGCCATTACTTTCTAGAATAGTCTGAGCCCCGTGTTGTTCCCGGCGCGGGAAGGGGCTAATGTATGTGCATCGCACCCGGAGGGCTAATCCGCCGCCCTGTCTGTCTCTCTGTAAAAACAGTCAATGATGCATCAGACAACAAAACCAATGAGCTGCTCTCCAGCACTGGAAGCAGCGCCGCTGTCAGCTGTGGCGCAATAATTAAATGTGATAAATTATACGTGGCACTGAGTGACAGGTGCAGCGAGAGCCATTGTGTGGAGAGCCAAGAAGCGCCACAAGCTCACGCCATTTTTAACTGTTTCAGGTGAGCCTGCGGACGAGGGAGGCTGAATGCAGCGCACATTAGCAGGTTAAAGGAGGGGGCCTCGTTACGCGGAGGAAGCAGTTTGGGAGGGCAGTGATTGCCTCCTGACATTTTTACAGCCCTGGCGAGGGCCAGCGAGTCGCGGGAGGAGGGTCATTATGCTCCACTCCACACGGGAGAAGATGGCACCCTCTGGCCCTCCACAGGTTTTCACTTTCCACTGAGAGCCACGTTACTGACCCGGCCGAGCAGGCGAATGAGCGGGCAACTCTGCCCCCGGTGGCCAGCGGCGGTCATGCACGAGCTGTGTTGCATGAATGCCCACATGGTTACCTCATTCACAGAAAGGTCACTGAAGTACAGCAGGAGAGCGGCGCGGTTTTCCTCCAATAGACATATGAAGCAGCTGCCTCTGTGAAAGAAAAGAGACATTCACTGTGAGAGCTGCAATCCAATTTAATGACAAGAAGGGGTTATATGGCACACATTTTCTTTTTTTACAAAGCCAAGACAAGGAGAAAGAAAACAAGAGCTGTATAAAGAATAAAAATGATGCGATTTATATTAGTGATTTTAAGCAAACCATTTGACATGTTCAGGGTTTTATAATGGTTTGGTCCTTTCTTTGAAAACACACAGAGGACAGAAATTGACGCAATTTGACCACCGCCAGTCTCTCAATAATGTTTTCCTCTTTTGAAAAGTCATAAAATTGCAAATGGAAACACAAAAATATATTTGTTGTAATTTCCGTTCGCCGCTATAGAACCACTAAACTATGACGACTTCTGCTTCTGAGAAACCCAGAAATGTGAAAAGGGTCCATCATAACAAGCTCCCCATGCCAAATACAATGAGAATGTAATGATTCCTGTGAACATGAAAGTTCTCAGGACCGCTGACACTGAGACTGGTCAAGTCAAGCGGTCATATGAAGGCAGGACGAGTGGTCAACGTGTGACTTTTCTCCCAGTTATGCAACATAAACACATTGTTGATAAACTCAGCGAGGCAGGCCTGTCAGCAGTCACAGGTTAACGCGTTTTGTATTTCAGCATCTCTGACATCTGTTTCGCACCTAAATCTCTCGTGCTTCACAAGCAACCGCAACATGTCAGCTCGCGGTGTCACAGCTTCCTGTCGAGTCGCGGCGCGTCTGGCTGGTTTGGGATAGTGGCAAGCGCGCACACTCCTCTCACACATGCACACGCGTCCTGTCTCACCCTCGCTGTTTCTCCCGCTATGCTGGCTGGCAGAATACGTGTTGGGTTCAGGGATGCTGATGCGCTTTGCACCCTGCCTGGCATGAGAGAGAGAGCGGCTGCGTTGCGACTCCTGCCGCCCATCCCAGAGCGCCACATGGCTGCCGTCGCATGCGGCACGTGTCTGCTGTTGGAGCGCATCGCCGCATGTGCGTCTGCAAACGTGGCACGTGTAGCGGGAGGCCTGGGCTTGCCAAATGTGCATTTCCTTGGCCTGCGGAGACATGTGTGGGCGCAGTCGGCGGTCTGTCAGATCAGTGGGGTCCTTGTGTGTTAAAAATGGTCACATTTGCATGCGTATCAGATGGCGTGCCATCCGTCTTAATCTGTAGAGGACGGGGAGCACAGACAGGTAAACGCTCTTGAGTTTCAGCCCCAAATAACCCATCAATCTGCTCTAATGAAAATGGCACCAGAGCCTTCGTGATCCCCGGATAGCTTTGTGGATGTCTGTGGCTTATCAACAAAGACTCTTGCTGGCCTGGGAACAGAGTTGAAAGTGGCGCCGGGGGTCTCTAAAGTTTATCTCCGCTCAGATTTTGTATCAAGGCAGGTGTGTATTTGTTTAGCGCGTGGGGCGAGAGAAGAATCGCTCCGTTTCAGACAAACTGAACTCAAGTCACTGAGGTAAAATCATGGTAGGCTAATGGTTTAAATAAAGGAGGATGACCTCTGGAGCTGTAGTCTAGAGGAACAGGAATGCCATATTAAAGGGAGAGTTTAATGGGCAACAGTCGCTATGATGAGATGAACCAGGTTTGAGCATCCTGCTCTTTAAGGTCACATCTTGTGGCATCCTGTTTTTGGATTGTTTAGATGTCTTCGGTCCATGTTACGTTCATACAGCAGTCGAACTGCACCGGGGTTCCTTTGGAAGCGGACCGAGACGCCGTGAAAAGGTGGGTTTTTGGTGAGCACCAAATGATCGGAAACGCTTCCAAACGAACTCTAGTGCAGTTTGAACCAAACCTGACAAGTGCGAGTCTTCTGAAGTTATATGATACCTCTCTGTGAGGAACAGACCAATTTCACAGAACATGTTTCCCTGCCTTTAGCTCTCCATTTAATATCCAAAACAAAAGAGCATTTCCATGACACATGCTTAATGATGGCTTTTTAAAACTTATTAGGAGCGCCATGGAAATGCTGTTTTTTGGATATTAAGTGTAACCTCTCCATAGAGCACCTTATTATAACTCTTTCCACCATTCTAGCAATCTCTACCCATTGATGTTTTCTAAGAACCACTTAAATTCCAGTCTGTTCCTCACACACAATCATCATATAACTTCAAAACTTGGAATGTGGCGCAAGAGTCACGTGGACTACTGTTATTACACTTCTCTTATTGGAGCTTGACAGCTGTGGTCATTTTGAAGAATCATTGTATGGAAAAGAGCCACAAAAAGACTCTTTATAAAGACATGAGGTTTAGTAAATGATGACAGAACTGTTGGTTTGTGAGCGAAGTATTCCTTCAACAGTTTTGGGTCGTTTCCCTTCAAAGTCCGAAAATGATGAAGTGGCTCCTGATTCATCTTCATGATGACTTTCATTCCCAATAACAGGTTTTTATTGATTTATGGGATTGATCGTCAAAAGCACACCGTCAGATAAAATATTGCTGAGTTTTGCGAATGGATGCTAAAGCGTTTCATCCATCTGGTGTGGTTTGAGCACATCTTCACCTGACATCGCTGCACTTTTCCACTTAGTCAGCGCTTCCGACGCTCTGTGGCTCTTGTTTGCATTCGGAGAGAATGGCCTTCCTCTCACTCATTAACCTTTCCTAATACCCTGCATGTATTAATAATGATCGGAGGAAAAGGTCAACGCATCCCAGCATGCCTTGCAGCACCAGCACACTCAGAGATCAGACTCACAGAAACACCAACATGCATGATTTTACTTCACGTAACAACATTCATACGCAAGGTCACATTTTCTTTAAAAAGGCCACATGTAACATCCGATCAAACTGTCACTTTCTATATCTGTCATATGAATACATACATGGAAAATAACATGACAGGGCAATTTAAGGGGACATTTCCGCGAAAAGTGAAAATTCTGTCTTTTTTTGAATGCCATGACTATACATGGAGTTTATTTGGTAATATATGAATCAGCACATATTCTGATAATTAACATATGTAAATATTACATAGTAAATCTATGTTTATAATATGTAAAAAGTAGGCATATTATGTTGCTGTATGACATATGAATATATAAAAAAAAAATCGCTCAAGGTGAAGCGCATGCATCACTTTCAGGTATGTTCGCAAAATGGAAAAGACTGGAAGTAGTAGAATTAAATTACAGATTCATGAAAATCAATCATTTTAATGCAAACACATTTCATGTAAATTTGATGTAAACCCACTTCATTTTGTTGTATCACTTCTAAACAGTAATTATAGTTGAAATCTTTGAACAATTGCTAAGGGTGAAGCTGTGTTTTTTTTTTAAATTCGCTTAAATATCCTGCGCACCAGTTGATTCATTTCAAGTTTATTCAGAAGTTTTTCCTCTCCCTTACAAAATACAATTTGAATACAGTTGGCACTTACTTGCAGATCTTCTGGGGTTGTCCAGATGTCTCTAATCTTTGGTCTCAAGTGGCAGTTTCTTGAGGATATTTTGGAGTGCTTTGGCAATTGTATATAGTTTTAATATGATGTTTGTTTTTTGTACTCGAGTACACTTAATACACTACTTGGCATATAACAAAGTAAAGTACAAGAAACAAAGTACATTTTGTATTAAAATTGAATAAAAAGGTAATCACAAAAATGTGCACAGTAATTTAAGCACTACCAATTACTCACATTTTTGTGTATATGCTGCTGGTTAATATTATGGCAGATATTTTGGCCTTATAATGATGCCTGCAAGCATGGATGACGCGTCATGCAAAAACTGCTGTATTACGTAAAAAAATAAAAACTGGGTACACTTTTACCCACTTTTTGAGACAAGAAATACATAGCGAAAGCTTTAAGTGACACTCCCTGTGACATTTGCATAGTTTTTCTAAAATGAAGCTCATTAAAACATACTAACGCTCATCTGCAGCACAAGAGCGCTTGAGTGGTCTGGTAATAATCAGCATCAACTACAAATTGGTGAAGCAATTATCTTACAATTACCTTCCACCAGAAAAAGCAGGAGTACAAAGTTTATTTTTAAAAATGTTATAATAATATTATTATTTTTTTGGAGTTTGGCAGTCATGGTCACTATGACCCACTGTATGGAAAAGAGCTGCGTGAATTCCACAGGCAACAATACATGAGGATGGAATGACAGGAAGCTGATAAAATAATGACAAAATGTTCCATTTTCTCTGAACAAAAGTATTTTAGATGCTTTTCATGTGATCTTCTTGATTGAGATCTCATAATAAAGCAGTGTCTGTCTGTCTCTGTTGATTTATTAATGGTATGCTGTTCACCCAGTATTGTGACAGTGTGCATTGCATCACGCTCCCGATTACCTCTCAGCTACTCCTAACGGCACATCAGAAGCTGACTCTGACATGAAGCAGAGAAACCGGCGTGACAGGACACTCCTGTAGTGCTTTCTTCTATCAAAATATGGATTTCAGTTTGTCTGCAGCGTGTTTACTGTTAGAAACCAGCTCTATATCAGATTCCCGCTCTGAGAGTGTAAGAAACAGCGCTCTGACCGATCCGTGACACTTTGGAGGCTTCCGTCATGTGTCACTAACTGTGCAGCAGCTCGAGTCGAGTGCACACTGGTGATAAAGCTAGACTGTGATCTCAGTCACCAACGCTCCTTTGCCACCCGGCTCCCCATCACAATATTTACATGCATGTAAATACATTACATTAGTGCACGCCGACTGCAGCATTTGCATAACATCTTCATCTTCATGCTGACATCATTCTCAATTTAATCTAAATTTGAAACAAATGTTTACTTGATCGCAAGTTTCTAAAGTCATGTATAGCATAACCTTAACCTTCATAAGAACATGCCAAAGCATTCTGTGAGCTCTGTCCTCCGAACCAAAATTCAGTAATACCTGTTTAACAAGTGAACACAATAAAACACACTGACATACATGAACACTGGATAATGAAGGCAGATCTGAATTGAAATGAATTTCAGATTGGGGCATATTGTCACATTTGTATTAGGGCAAGTCAAATGTGTTTCAACTTATAAACGTATACCACCAAATATTACAATATTTGCTGGACAAAACAAGTTGATATTTTAGTTGTGTCCTGAATTGTTCTGTTTCATAATATTTTTACAATTTAAAATGAGCTGA